CCAGCGCCTTCTTCATCGGAGTGGTGTAAAAGTGGTCAATACGTTTCTGAAAGAAAGACAAAGAGCCTGGAGTGTTAGGAGGGAGATTTTTGACCTAGACGATTTCGCGAGCGCAAGGCCCGAGACTGAAATATGCAACCAGCTGACAGTACTGAAACATTGGAGTGTTCCATAAAAGAACGAGGGAACAGAATGGTCGTCAGTGATTAGGTTTCTACTAAGATACAGCCCTCCGGATCTTCTAATTCATCCCACTGAGGCATTTTGAGTTTCTGTTTACCAGCGGGCGAATCTCTACTTCCTAGTATCTAGTGCCAACTTTACAAATACACAACTAGGCATGAAAGACCCTCGTAAAGCGTCATAAATGGCTCATTAACTGCTAAGTGATCCTCGTGAAGTACAGAACTGGCGGATTGGCCTCCAAATGTTATGCGGTCGGCCACCCGCGAGCGTACACGCATTATCTGGCCTGCAAAAATACACGAACCGGTCACGTTTAACAACATTGTGATAGGAAGAAATACAAGCAGGGGTTTGAGTAATCCTCCCGGTGATGACTGTAAAATACATTCGCAAAACCTGGCACACGCGATGGAATAAAACAAAGTCACAGAGGTTAAAAGACATAAGGAGCGGCGTAAGAGTGTTAAAGCACTGACCTGTGTGAATTGGTCTATAAAGTCTGAGGCCCTGGCACCAAACGTCTTGATCATCCAGGTCATGATGACAACAAACGGAATAATTTCCATGAAGTGTGCATCAACCACCCAGATCTCCTTGCTCAGCAAGAAGGCCACACTGCCAGTCAAAAATAGATAGGGTCCTGTTGACAAAAATGGTAAGTTTAAAAAAAACTGGGCTACATGCATTACCTGTGACACCAGTTCTGGAGTAGAGAGCATGGAACCAAGAGTCTGGCAGGAAACCGAGGCGGACTTTTGGATGACGTTCCGGAATCTTGATTGTTGGGAAATTAGTCATGTCTCTTTCTTTGCCGTAGTAGATCTCGTTACATTTGTCCCACCTTACTATAGCGTCTTGGACATGCTAAAAAACAGAAAATAGAAGATAAGGAATGAGGAAAAGACGGATGAAATCAACCAGCAAGAGGAGAAGAGATAAGCACTGAATCCATACGTAAAATTGATTTTTTGAAAACCCAACAACTCAATAAGGAGCCAGGTTTTTAACATATGCACTATATCTGCTAGAATTAACGGTCACAGAGCAAGGGGAGGCAGCCAGAAAGCTTAAGCAAGATCACGTCAGGTCAAATTTAAAAGATGACTTAAAGTATTATTGCATTTGGGACGTCCGTGCTAAAAGACAGGTACTTCCTGCGTTAAGTTATGTAAAAATTTGGGTAAAGACAAAACCCCCATACTTAAAAGGACTGTCGCAGTGGTAGACGGACGTATGGAAAAAGCCATCGGTGTGGCAGCGAGAAAACGCATCCAAAATATAGACCAGTTCTGGATAGCACCGAAAGTTAGTCCAGCCAAACCTTTTTGAAAACCTGAACTATTATGTTAGCATGTGCAGAGTCACAGGCGTCAAAGAAAATGAAGATCCAAGACCTAGGTTATGAACACGTACAAAAAACGCGACTGAGATCCTAAAAAGGCAGTTTAACATGAGAATATAATCTTCCATAACTGCGGCTACATCACTATGGGAGACCGGAGTTTCGTGACCCTCACCCTGCCTACTGTATTTCTGATGACGGCCTCCTGAGATGTAACAGCGGTGATCATCAGTCTCTAAATAAACAACATAACTCTCGGGCCTACGAATCTAATGGGCTTCCACTGAAACATTCAGTCCGCGGAATAGGTGCCAAGCGGACCATGACAAAAGGTCGAAAGTAGGGCATTCTACAGATGTATGAAAGAGTAAGACTTGGAAGAAAGAGGGTAACATTAAAAAATAGAAGTAATTGTCAAAACAGTTGTGAGTATCTTTTTGTGATCTTAAGTACTTATAACATCATTAATGAGGGCAAATTTAGAGGACTTCATGCCGAGAATCCATCGTATTACGAACAATCTTCTTTCGTTGAAATAAGTCGGCCTAAAACCGCAGTTTCATGCGTATGGTATTTGCCTTCTCCAAGTATGTTTACTTAATCTGGCCTATTCAACGTTGCTAAGTAGACCCAAACGAAGGCGAAGAGGTATTCTGAACAATGTAAGACTGGAGTGCAAGCGTAAGTGGGAGAATGAGTTTAAGCGATGCGTACATTCGGTGCATCTTAGTTATGATTTACATCTACACTGTGGGATCATCCTGACGTCAACTTTGGA